CCTTAAAACTTACTAAGTGCTTGCCATGTGTCAAAATATATGATAGAAACCCTACGAGACAAGAAACTATGGTTATTTAGGGAACTGGAACATGGAGGGGATATCTGCCCAAGATCACAGAGTTGGTAACAGAAGTGATTCCTTTGCCCCATAGATGTGCAGTAAAGGGAATAACATAGTTCTTAGGTAAAAAAATAAATCCCTAGGGAGGCAGCAGTCCCTCCACAAAATCAACTTGTTTCTCTATACTAAAGCTGAGATATTCTGGTCATCAGAACCAAACACTGTTTCTAGAGGAACTTGGAGAAGGAGTGTATATGATTAGGAAAGGGGATGGGGTCCCAGAGGAGAGTGGGCCTGCACTGGTTCCCATTCCACTTGGATGTCTGGAGACCTTTGGTCTCATCCATGACCTTCTATCACTGGGGCATGAGGAATGACTGCAAGAGGTCCAAGATATGTGAGTGCCTTCTGTTTGGCCCAGGTCCTTCCATAGTACTAGGAGTTTGGGAGAGCTGTCATCCTTTCTTCCTGCCCATGAAGAGAAGTCCTGGAGCGTGAAAGAGAGGAAAACTGTGAGACCTCACAGCTGGAGGTGGGGAGGGGGGTGGGCTGCAGCTGAATACGTGGAGGGAATACTCAATAGTGGGCTGAATGAGGTGGTGCATTGCCAGGGAAGAAGGGGTCAAATTAGGGCCAGGCAGTTGAGAGGCTCCTCAATGGATGCTAGCAGAAAGACAGTAAGACTGAGAAAGACAGAAGTGGGCAGTGGCCATCTCCTCCCCCCAGAGACTGTGATGGCATTTGCATAAACATATCCCCAACTCTCCCTGCCTCCCCCTTCTCCCACCCCCTGCAACCTAACAAAGGCCTCAGTGGGAAGGACAGAAAGATAGTGGGATAATCTTAAATGCAACTGAATTTAAACCAGAAGTGTTTAAGGAATCAGTAACCTATAAGTTAGTAGACTAAAATTTCTGCCAATAATATAGGAAGTAAATCAAATTCTAGCAAAATGATAAACATTACTGCAGTGTAGTAAATTACTTAGTATGGCTTTTCAACCCATAAGTCATTGTAAACTCAGTGGTGGGTGAGCAACTGAGGAGCTCCTGATTGTAAATGTTATCCACCTGGGTTATTTCTGTTGGGCATGGCACAACACGGTGTTATGGAAGGTTCACTCTCAGGTGCTTAGAATTCTGTTGTTATGATTGGTTGGTTTGGCCACTCTGCCAAGCTCAAAAGGAGGCCTCCTAGAGGCAGAACTCTCTCTGACTGCTGGTTGAGGAAGACGTGCTGCTGAAAGACACACACTCTACTGAAAGAGACACATGCTGCTGGAAAAGAGACTCAAGAGACACATGTTGCTAGATGTGCTGCTGAAAGAGACATGTGCTACTGAGAGAGACACGTGCTGCTGGGAAAGAGATGCAAGACACACACATTGCTGAGTGAGACACCGAGGGACCAGCACTGCTGGGAAAGAGATTGTGAGAGACTGTTGGCTGAGGGACGGTGGGCTGAGAGACTGAGCATTTTTCCTGAACTTGAATTGTAGCCTGTGGTGCTTCTCTAATAAACCCCATAATCTGTGAGCTCTGTGTGGCCACTGCAGTGAATTATCAAACCCAGGAGAGAGGTGGTGGGTGCTTTGGGAGGAATGGCTGGTGAACGAGCTGGAGGGAGGCAGCATGTCTGGCCTTATAGGAATAGCCTTTGGGTTATTGATGGTTGCTCTGTCTTCCTCTTGTGGGATTAGAGGAGGTTAGAACATGTGGCCTCCTTGTCCTTTTTGCAATTACACTTAGCATATTTGAGTTTAGGGTCAAAAATGGGCACCTACTACCCAAGTTGGTAAGTTCTGAGCTCCCCACCTTTAGTTCTTGTTCCCTTAGCCCGCATCCCTTCATTTCATCCAGAGTCACCCAGAGATCAGGTGTCATTCATTCAGGTGTCATATGACATTCATGGACTCTGAGAGCTCTGGCATGTCTTTTTTTGCAAAGCATTAGACTGCTAACCAGAAAGCTGGTGATTCAAACCCACCAGCCACACTCCTTGGAAGGAAGGTTGGGCAATCTACTTCTGTAGTAGTACCATCTCGGAAACCCAAGGAGGAGTCATTATGAGTCAGATCTGACTCGATGGCAGTGTGTGTATGTGTGTGTGCGTGTGTGTGTGTGTGTTTGCAAACCACATTCATACCCATCAGCTATCTGGAGACTCACAATAGCCCAGTGAGTTAGGTGGGCAAGGACCACTTACCCCATTCAATAGGGAAGAAAACCAAGGGCCTAACAGGTTGTCCAAAGGCACACAGGCTTGTGGCAAAGCCCACTTGTCTTACCTGTGGCCATAGCCCTGAGTCCGCACAGCAGAGCAGAGCAGATGGCCAGGGCAGAGGAAGGAGCTTGGGGGCTGCAGCCCATGGTTCTGATGGACTGAGTACCTGGAGACTTTCTCATTCATTTCCCACCCACTTCTCACACCCTTGCCTTTAATTTAGACATGAGGAAGCTGAGGCCATAGCACATTTGAGGGAGTGCAGTACTTCCTGGCTCTTGGGTTCAGTTTTTGGGTGGATCAAGGGCCAAGGTAGATTGCAGAGGCTCTGTGGTTTGGGGTGGGTTCCTAGAACATCTATCTTATACACAGAAGTCCGTTCAGTTGGAGAAGGTCTGAGCCAGTTCTACCCTCCCCAAGTAAAAGTAGTCTCAGAGATCCTCAGAGAAGGGGAGTACAGCTGAACACTTCCCTGGGAGCAGGGATTGACTCATTCCTGGGCTTGAATCCAAGCAGCCACTTTCCTTGTGAAATCTGGGAATAACAATACTACCCCTCAGTAGGCCCAGCACCTGCACTTGACAAATTACTTTCTCCTCCATTTCAGAGTCTCCAGGTTGCTCTAGGAAGCAGGGCAGGCTGATGGGTAAACTGATGGCTCCCTTTTACAGATGGGAAAACTGAGGCTTAGGCAGTGAACGTGATATACCCAAGATCTCGCTGCAAGGAAACAGCAGAATGGAGCTAAATCCCGGGCCTTTTCTGGCAGAATGAGGCAGCCCTTCCAGCAAGGCCCTCACACATGTCCTGGGAAGAAAAACTCCAGAAAGAGCTTACTGTCTCACTATTCATTCATCCAAGGTAGGACAGCATCCCTTTCCAGCCTGGCAGAATAACCAAAGGACTAAAGTTTATTTAAATTTTATTATTATTACTAAATTTTCTGTTTTTCTCACACTCTGGGATATTCTCAGCAAAGCCAAAAAGAGTGTGTTAGACATGGATGAAATGCAAGGTCTTTGAGCAAGTGGTCAGCTTGCAGGAGAAGGTTGACATCATCCCTTCAACCAACCTAAGCTGAGCCCCTGGGGATGGGACCTGAGTTGTTCATCTCTGCATTCAGTTCCATTCACGGAGTGCTCAGCAGGTGCTCAATAAATGTGTTATGGATGAATGAATGAATGAACAAACACCTTTCTTGATCTCTGTGCCTCTGTTCTCTCCTGGTTCAGCTCACAAAAGTTAGGACCATAAGCTTCCTCAGAAGTCATCTTGTTCAGCTTTATCCTGTTACAGGCGAGGCCCAGAGGGGGAGAGTGGCCAGCTGGGGGTTACACAGCAAGTTTGAGGAGGCACAGGTATAATAGGACAATTTCCCCCTCTTTCAGAGCTCATTCTGAGACCTTACGCAGCCTCTGTCTTCTGAGCCAAGAAGGCCTCTCTGGCCAGGAGAGACGAGAACTCTTCTTTCTTGTTTGCCCCTTACTGCTGAGTCTGGGGAAATCTTCCAAGAGGCATCCTGGGTTATGGGCAGTCTCTGGAATGTGACACTGACTCCCCCAGTGGTCCAAACACTATCAGCACCACCTACCTTCATCTGGAGAAGAGAATGGCTCTTGGCGAGAGGATGTTTGGTTCCTATGTTGAAGTGGCACACATGCTGCCCCATCTGGGGTGTGGAGGTGGAAGAAGGTGGAGTGCAGGGATGCAGGCCTGCTGCAGGAGAGGGCCTGGGAGCAGCTGCATCTCCCGTGAGGGGTGTGGGATGAAGGTGATTTGAGCAGGGAACCAGGTTGTGGCCAGTTGGCTTTGAGCAAGTGGATAACCACCCATGGGTGGAACCAGCCTGAGTGGAGCCAGCCTGGGTGGAACTTCAGGCAACCACAGGGGGCCCTGTTGTAGAGAGAGGTCAGGAGAGAGAAGTGAGACCTCAACTTCACCCTGGGCTGTGCCTGCAGCTTCCCTGCTTCTTTCCCATGACCCTCGAAGCTCTAGGGGCCCGATTTGCCCAGATTTCCCCAGGTTTAGCACTGAAAGCATAGTGGCTAAGACACTTGCCTGCTAACCAGAAGGCTGGCGGTTCAAACCCACCAGCCACTCCTCGGAAGGAAGGTTGGGCAATCCTACTTCCGTAGTGATACTGCCTCGGAAACCCAAGGAGGGGTCACTATGAGTCGGGGCCGACTCGACGGCACATAACAACAACAACAACAGCACTGAAAGCCTGTGCAACCTATGCAAACCTGGATGGCTAGCCACTACTGCCCACAATCAGGGGGCCAGGAAACCTGGTTCTAATCCTGGTATATACAGCAACTGTTTCCATGGTAAAGTCACTTTGCTTCTCAGAGCCCAATTTCTGTCTTAGTAAAAATGTGTAATTTAAAAATCCTACCTGATAGAGTCACCGTGTGTATGTAGAGAGATCCTTGGGTGGTGCAAATGGCATGTGCTTGACTCTTAACCTAAAGGTTAGTGGTTTGTACCCACTCAGTGGCACTGTAGAAGAAAAGCCTGGCAATGTACTTCCATAAAGATTGCTGCTGTTGAGTTTATTCCATCTCATAGCAACTCCACGTGTGCAGAGGAGAACTGCATCATGGGGTTTTCAAGGCTGTGATGGTTAGGAAGCTGTCCTCCAAGACACCTCTGGGTGGATTTGAACTGCCAACATTTTGCTTAGTAGTTGAGCACTTAACAATTTGTGCCACCCATGGACTCCTCTGTAAGGATTGCAGCTAAGAAAACCCCATGGAACAGTTCTACTCTGTAATGCATGGGGTTAACCATGAGTCGAGTTTGGCTTTGGGTTTTTGAAGGTATGCTATTGTTAGGTGCCATCGAGTCAGCTCCAACTCATAGTGATCCCATGCATAACAGAAGGCAACACTGCCCAATCCTGCACCATCCTCACAGGCCTTGCTATACTTGAGCCCATGATTACAGTCACTGTATCAATCCATCTTGTTAGGGGTCTTCCCCTTTTTAGCTGTCCCTCTGCTTTACCAAAGGAGCTCTGATGGTGTAGTGTCTAAGGCATTTGACTGCTAACCACAAGGCTGGTGGTTGAAACCCACCAGCCACACCATGGAAGGAAGACCAGGCAATCTACTTCTGTAAAGATTTACCGCCTTGGAAACACAATGGGAGTTGCTATGAGTTGGAATCAACTTGCTGGCAGTGGGTTTGGTTTTTGGCTTTGGTCTGCTTCACCAAACATGGCATCCTTCCTCAGGGAATGGTCCCTTCTGACAACGTGACCAAAATAGGTGAGATGAAGTCTGTCCATTCTCGCTTCCAAGGAGCAATCAGGCTGCACTTCTTACAGAGCAGGTTTGTTTGTTCTTCTGGTAGTCCATGATATTTTTCAGTAAACTTCACCAACACCACAATTCAAAGGCATTCTTCAGTCTTCCTTATTCATTGTCCAGGTTTCGCATGCCTGTGAGGTGATTGAAAATACCATGGCTTGTGTAAAGCACACCTTAGTCTTCAAAGTGACGTCTTTGCTTCTTAACACTTTAAAGAGGTCTTTTGCATCACATTTGCCCAGTGCAATACGGCATCTGTTTTCTTGACTGATGTTTTCATGGGTGTTGATTTTGGATCCAAGTAAAATGAATCTTTGATAACTTCAATCTTGTTCTCCATTTATCTTGATGTTGATTACTGGTCCAGTGGTGAAGATTTTTGTTTTCTTTATGTTGAGTTGTAATCCATACTGAAGACTATAGGCTTTGATCTTCATCAGTCAGTACTTCAAGTCATCTTTGCTTTCAGCAAGCAAGGTTGTGTCATCTGTGTATTGCTGGTTGTTAATGAGTTTTCTTCCAATTCTGATGCCATGTTCTTCTTCATATAGTCCCACTTCTTGGATTATTTGCTCAACATACAAATTGAATATGTATGGTGAAAGGATACAACCCTGATGCACATACTACCTGATTTTAAACTTGACAATATCCCCTTGTTCTGTTCCAATGAACAGAACTTGGTCTGTGTACAAATTCCTCATGAGTACAATTACGTGTTCTGGAATTCCCATTCTTTGCAATGTTATCCATAATTTGTTATGATCCACACAGTCAAATGCCTTTGCACAGTCAGTAAAACACAAGCAAACACCTTTCTGGTATTCTTTGCTTTCAGCCAAGAGCTATCTGACATCAGCAATGATATTTCTTCTTCCACGTCCTCTTTGAATCCAGTTTGTATTTCTGGAAGTTCCCTGTCAATATACTGCTTCAACCATTATCAAAATCAGAATTTTACTTGTGTGTGATATTAATAATATTGCTCAATAATTTCCACATTCTGTGGGATCACCTTTCATTGGAATTGGCACAAATAATTGATCTCTTCCAGTCAGTTGGCCAGGTAGATATTCTCCAAATTTCCTGGCATAAATGACTAAGTGCCTCCAGCTTTACATCTGTTAGTTGAAACATCTCAATGGATATTCTGTCAATTTCTAGAGTCTTGTTTTCACCAGTCCCTTCATAACAGCTTAAACTTCTTCCTTCAATAGCATTGGTTCCTGGTCAGATGCTACCTCCTGGAACAGATGAACATTGACTTATTGTTTTAGGAATAGTGACTGTGCATTCCTTCCATCTTCTTTTGACACTTCCTGCATCATTCAACATTTTGCCCATAGAGTCCTTCAATTGCAACTCAAAGCTTGAATCATTTCTTCAGTTCTGTCAGCTTGAGAAATGCTGAGTTTTTCTTCTGTTTTGGCTTTACAACTCCAGGGCTTTGCACATTTCATTATAATGCTTTACCTTGTCTTCTTGATCCACCCTTCGAAATCTTCTGTTCAGCTCTTTTATTTAGTCATTTTTTTTCCCCATTTGCTTTAGCTACTCTCTGTTCAGGAGCAAGCTTCAGAGTCTCTTCTGACATCCATTTTAATCTTTTCTTCCTTTCCTGTCTTTTTAATGACCTTTTGCTTTCTTCATGTATGATATTCTTGATGTCATCCCACAACTCATCTGGTTTTTGTTCAGTTGTGTTCAATGCATCAAATCTATTCTTCAGATGGTCTCTAAATCAGGTGAGATATAATCAAGGTCATATATTTGCTTTTGTGGGCTTGTTTTAATTTTCTTCACCTTTGATTTGAACTTGCATATGAGCAATTGGTGGTCTGTTCCACAGTCAGCTCCTGGCCTTGTTTTGGCTAGATATTGAGCTTCTCTATAGGCTCATTCCACAGATGAAGTCAATCTGATTCTCATGTATTCCTTCTGGTGAGGTCCATGTGTTTATGTTGTTGGAAAAAGGTATTTGCAATGAATAAGTCATTGGTCTTGCAAAATTCCATCATGCAATATCTGGCTTCATTTCTGTCACCAAGGCCATATTTTCCAACTACTGGTGATTCTTCTTTGTTTCCAATTTTTGCATTTCAATCACCAATCAATATATCTTGATTGTGTGTTTGGTCAATTTCAGACTGTAGAAGAAATCTTCAATTTCTTCATCTTTGGCTTTAGTAGTTGGTGTGTAAATTTGAATGATAGTAGCATTAACTGACCTTCCTTGTTGTTGTTGTTGTTGTTAGGTGCTGTCAAGTCATCTCTGACTCATAGCAACTCTGTGTACAACAAAATGAAATACTGCCCAGTCCTGTGCTGGCATCATGATCCTTGCTATAGCTGAGCCCATCATTGCAGCCACTGTGTCAATCCATCTTTTTGAGGGTCCTCCTCTTTTCTGTTGACCCTCTACTTTTCCAAGCATGATATTTTTCTCCTGGGAATGGTCCCTTTTGACAACATGACTAAAGTAGGTGAGACAAAGTCTGGCTATTCTCACTTCCAAGGAGCATTCTGGTTGCATTCCTTCTAGGATAGATTTGTTAGTCCTTTTAGTAGTCCATGGTACTCTTAGCATTCTTCTCCAACACCACAACTCAAAAGCATCAACTCTTCTTCAGTCTTCCTTATTCATTGCCCAGCTCTCACTTGCATAAGAGGTGATTGAAAACACCATGGTTTGGGTTAGACACACCTTAGTCTTCAAGGAGACATCTTTGCTCTTCAGCACTTGAAAAAGTTCATTTGCAGCAGATTTGCCCAATGCAATACATCATCTAATATCTTGACTGCTGCTTCTATTGGTGTTGATTGTAGAACCAAGCAATGTGAAGTCCTTGATAACTTCAATCTTTTCTCCATCCATTGTGAAGCTATTTATTGGACCACTTGTGAGGATTTTTGTTTTTTCTTAATATTGATGTGTAATCCATTTTTGGAATGTAGTCTTTAATCTTCATCAGTAAGTGCTTCAAGTCATTCTCACTTTCAGCAAGCAAAGTTGTGCCATCTGCGTATCTCAGGTTGTTAACAATTCTTCCTCCAAACCTGATGCCACGTTCTTCTTCATATAATCCAGCTTCTCAGATTATTTGTTCAGCACACAGATTGAATAAGTATGGTGAAAAGATACAACCCTGACACACTCCTTTCCTGATTTTAAACCACATACCATCCCCTTGTTGTGTTCTAACAACAGCCTCCTGATCTATTTACAGGTTTCTCATGAGTACAATTAAGTGTTCTGGAATTCCCATTCTTCTCACTGTTATCCATATTTTGTTATGATGCACCCAACACAATGTTTTTGCGTAGTCAATAAAACATGATTAAACATCTTTCTGGTATTCTTTGCTTTCTGCTAAGATCCATCTGATATCTTTTCCTAAAATAATTCACCTTTCACTTTTTACTATAGACAGGGCCCCTGAAGTGTTTCCTCCCATCTGGGTCTGGATGGGATGTTCCCAGACAGTGGCCCTACCCCTCCCCACTCCACACCCCTGATGCTTCAGCCACTTACAGCCATATCCAGATTTGTCCCTGGGGCTAAGTCAGCCTCACTCAGCTGCTGTTGAGCACTGAGGCTGCCCATCTTCTCCTGCTTCCGCCACTTGGCTCGCTGATTCTGGAACCAGATCTTGGGGGCAGGAGGAGGGGAGTAGAGAGAAGATGGAGATAAGAGTAAGAGCTTTTATCCATCTAGTAACCAGTTAGTTAACCAGTGGCTGTCAAGTTGACTCTGACTCATGGAGTCCCCAAATGTGTCAGAGAACTATGCTCCATAGAGTTTTCAATAGCTGATTTTTCAGAGTAGATCATGAGAACTTTCTTCTGAGGCATCTCTTGGTGGATGTAAACCTTCAACGTTTTGGGGAGTGGTGAGGTCTGTGGTGAACCACAATATATGTGTCCAGTGGTTGTGTGTGTGTGTGTGCACGCGCTGCTGATGTCAAGTTGACCCTGACTCATGGCAACCCATGTACAATAGAACATAATGTTGCCTGGTCCTCCATCATCCCCACGCTCAGTGGCAGATTGGATCCTTTTGATCCATAGAGTTTTCATTGGCTGGTTTTCTCTTTTTGAACATTTTATTGTATTTTAGGTGAAATTTTATACAGCGAATTACTTTCCCAATCAACAATTCATGTACATACTGTGACCTTGGTTGCTACCTCTACAATGTGTCAGCACTGTCCCCATAGCCACCATTCCTTCCTTGTTTCCATCCCTCCAGTGCCCCTGCCCCTTCCTTGTCTTCTCATCTTTGCTTTTGGGCAAATGTTGCCTGTTTGATCTCGTACAGTTGATTGTTTTAAAAAACACAATCCTCACAGGTGTTATTGTTTATTTATATGGAAATCTATTATTTGGTGAGAAGGGCCCTGGTGGAGCAGTGGTTAAGTACTGAGCTGCTAACTGAAAGATCTGCAGTTAGGATCCACCAGCCATTTCACAGGAAAAAAGGTGTGGCAGGCTGCTTCCATACAAATTTACAGGCTTGGAAACCTGATGGGGCAGTTTTATTCTGTCTTATAGGGTCACTATAAGTCTGAATCGACTCAATAGCAGTGGATAGGTGACCTCTGGAGTCACTGGCTGATTTTCACAAGTAAATCACTAGGCCTTTCTTTCTAGTTCATCTTACTCTGGAAGCTCCCCTGAAACTTGTTCAGCATCATAACACCATGCAAGCACCCACTGACAGATGGGTGGTAGCCATGCTTGAGGTGCATTGGCCAGTGTTTTAGGCTCATCCAATTTCCAAGCTGGGAATCTTGTTTTATGTATGTGAGAGCTCCCAAGTTTTAAAACAATGTGCAACTCAAGTAAACCCAGGTGCTCTGGTGGTGTAGTGCCTAAGGCACTTGACTGCTAACCAGAAGGCTGGTGGTTGAAACCCACCAGCCACTCCTTGGAAGGAAGATTGGGCATTCTACTTCTGTAGTGATACCAGCTTGGAAAACCAAGGAGGGGTTGCTATGAGTTGGATCTGACTCAACGGCAGTGCATGTGCATTCCAGCTGACAGGCTACCCATTTGCAACCCCTGTGGGGGGCTCTGGGCATCTGCAGGTTGAACACCTGCAGTTCTCATGTTCATGAATGCTTTGATGGTCCTAGCATATGGCCAGTTGCGCTTGGTGATTCTGGTGAGGTGGAGTTGAAATCTAACTACTAAATGAAAGGTTGGAGGTTTGAATTCATGGAATAAAGCCTGGTGATCTGCCTCCAAAGGCCGCAACCTAAAGAGCACAGTTCTACTCTGGAACACATGGGGTCTCCATGAGTCAGAATCGACTTGACAGCAAGTTCCCTGCCCCGGCCTCTCCGCCCCCCTCCCCCAAGTAAAGAGAAAAGTCATGGAAGCAGAGATTGATGGTGATTATAGATGCTACCTCATTCCATTCTCACTGCAATGATCTTATAACCATAGTGACCTCATTTGCTGGAGAATAATATTTGGCAAATATGACTATACTTGTGGGATCAAGCCAATAGAGAATTTCAGATGGGGGCAGTCTTGCAAAATCCAGACTTCAAGGTGTCTTATCCACCACAAGTAGGGGCTGAAGTGAGGACAGCTGTACCTGAACTCTGGTTTCCGGGAGGTTGATCCTGGCTGCCAGTTGATTGCGGACATGGACATCTGGGTAGCGGGTGAAATGGAAGATCTTCTCCAGTTCATACAGCTGCTCCGTGGTGAAGGTGGTGCGAACCCTCCTCTTGCTCTTCCTCTCCTCTGTGTGGGAGTGAGCTCAAGTTGGGTCAGTGGGCTTGGAGTTAGCACCTTGCTCAGGCTTTTGTGTTGCTGTGTTCCTTTCTCTCAACACCTGCTTCCATGACCAGCTGAGTCTTGGCCCCCCTGGCTCCTTCTGGTTATTTCACAATATTTGCTTTTCTACAATTCTTTGTCTCTAGGCAGAGTTTGATTTTGGACATGTTGATTTGAGATGCCACAAGTCAGAATTGACTCTAGGGCAACTAACAACAACAAAAAATTGGCCATTAAAATGGAGCAGTCTCTTAGGGATTAAATTGTGTGTCTCCCCAAAATATATGTTGAAATCTTAATCCCTGTACCTGTGAATGTGGCCCTACTTGGAATAGGGTCTTTGAAGATGTTGTCAGTTAGACTGACATGAGGTCATACCAGAGTAGGGTGGATCCTAATTCTATATCACTGGCATTCTTGTAAAAGAGGAGAAGATAAGCAGAGACAGAGAGAAAAAAGCAGGATGTCATATGATGCTGGAGCTGCAAGCCTAGGAATACTTGGACTTAACCAGAAGCAGGGGGAGAGGTATGGAACAGACTCTTCTTCAAAGCCACAGAAGAAATCAACACTAAAGACACTCTGATCTCCAACTCCCAGCCTCCAGAACTGTGAGGCAATGAATTTGTTCTCTAATAGGCACTTACTTTGCAGTATTTTGTTATGGCAGCCAAAGAAAATACAATAAGCTATTGGATAGGCAGACGCATGTGCAACTTTGGAGCTCAAAGACAAGGTCAGAAATGAAGTTCAAATCTGGCAATTGTCTGCATATATTTGGCAATGGAACTGCTTAGATGAATTCACTTAGAAAGTAAAGGTGGAGAAGAGCGACAGGTCTAAGGGAAAGCCCTGGGGCCCTCCACTGTTTAGAGGTTCTGTAGCAGAGCATGCAACAAAGAAAACCAAAAGAGGAGTTCACAGGTCAGAGGAAAGGAAGGACAGTGTGGTATGGGCATGTGGTGAAGAAATATTTCAAGAGAGAAAACACAATCAGCTATGTCCTGCTGCAAACAGATTGTGATGAAGACAGAAAAGTGGTCATTGAAGCTGGTCTCACAGAGAATCTTAATGAGAGCAGGGCACCAACCAGGCCCAGTTTTCTCTGTTGTAGAAATGACATTTCATGGTCTGCTTTTGGTCTCACTTCCTCCCCTTTGTTGTTAATCTATTTTTCATCTCCTCAGTTCACTTTCACTGACTCTTGGAAGCTTCTTGGGGATTGCAGACAGTGTGGTTTCCAACATTCTTATCTACTAGAGCAAGCTTTGGCTTGTGAACCACATTTGATGGGACAGTCTGAGCTCTCCCTTTCTCTTTGTAGCCCCTTCCTCCTTCCCCCCACTGCTTCCTCCTCCACTTTTACTTAGAGATATTTATTCTATGTCTAGCGCTGGTGATGTGCTTAAGGGATAGAGTTGAAGCCAATTAGTATAGCTGTAGACAGAGATGGCAGGTGCTAACAAGTTCTCAATGTCATCTCTTCTCCCAAGAACTCAGAGGCAGTAAAGCCAGTCCTCAGGGTACAAAAATGAAGACAATGTGCTGACAGTATCCCATTCATTCCTTCATGAGGTCAGCATTTTAGATGGTGATAAATGACACAGTACAGTTCTACAGGAAGCTATAAAATAATTCACAGAAGGGAAGACTTGAGTTGGCTGGGCAAAGTGGGGTATCAACGACAGCACAGGGTTGACGTTCTTCTCAGAATATAAAACTATGGAACAGGACATGCAGAACTGAGACTACAGGGTATAGAACGAGAATACAGGAAATTAAACAGGATGGAGAATGAAGGATTAGAAACAGAATGTAGATGACAGCTAAATGATAAGCCACGTCTTCATTTTCCCTCAGAAGGAAACTTAGGCAGATCAGGGTTTATGACCAAGAACTTAACAGACTTCTTACTAAGATAATTATCCCAAAATTTATTTGTGCAACTAAAGGAGCAGATACTAAGAAATATATGGATTTTCCCTATTCCTATCTGAAGGGAATATGTCTGAAGGGGCATAACTTGGAGAGAGAGTGAAGGAGAAAAGGAAATAAACCCCACTCTGCATAATGTGACTGCTGACTTCATGGAGAGAGGGCTGCCCGGTAATTTATAGGCCAATTACAAAAAATGTCTTTCTTCATTCTCACAAGGATTGGACTATATATTCTTGGAATAAAGAATGAGAGATGATGATGATGACGATGATGATAAGGTATAGTGTGCACGTGTCTGTGTGTATGTGTGTGTCCAACAGCTTCAGTGATCTCTTGGGAGAACAGAGAGGGGTGCCTACAATTAACACTGGTGGGGAGATGGAGGCGGAACCCCAAATGGACTATCCTGCAGGTTGTAGAGCACCAAAGTCTCTCCCCTAGATTGACCAGGTTTTCTTGCAATGTTGACAGTGCCAATTGTCCCCATACAGCCCCTCTTGGAATGGCCCATAATGAATGACCCCAAATTGAAGAAATATAAAAAGGAGTGGAGGTAAAAGTGAGAGAGGGATTCTGAAGTCCCTGTGGTTGGGGGTCCCTGAAATATAACTGGAGAGACCCAATCAAAAGGTCGAGAGCAGTTTTAGGAGAGGTAGATAGGCTTGAATGTAGAGTCAGGGGAATGACTTTAGGATATGAAGCTTTAACTCCTTAGAGATACATTGTCAAATATGATACCCACTAGCTACATGTGGCTATTTAAATTTTCAACTGATTAAAATGAAATAAAATAAAAATTTTATTCCATAGCCACACTAGCCATAATTCAGCAGCCTCATGGGACTAGTGGCTAACATATTGCACAACCCAGATGTAAAGTATTTCCATCACTGCAGAAAGATCTATTGAACCCTACAGTAGGAGAGATTTTCCTCTTGGATTCCAGACTCTAACTTTTTAAGTTCTCCTCCCATGCTGCAATGTTTTCTAATTGACACAAAGTATCTGACATTTCTTGACAAGGATTTACTTTTATTTGGATCCACAATCAATGCCCATGGAAGCAGAAGTCAAGAAATCAAATGATATATTGCACTGGGCAAATCCACTGCAAAAGATCTCTTTAAAGTGTTCAAAAGCAAAGATGTCACTTTGAGGACTAAGGTGTGCCTGACCCAAGGCATGGTATTTTCAATTGCCTCATATGGATATGAAATCTGGACAACACATATGGAAGTCTAAAGAAGAGCTGATGTCTTTGAATTATGGTGTTGGTGAAGAATATTGAATGTACTGTGCACTGCCAGAAGAACAAACATGTCTTTGAAGAAGTACAGCCAGAGTGTTCCTTGGGAGCAAGGATGGAGACACTTTGTCTCACGTACTTTGGACATGTTATCAGGAGGGAGTAGTCCCTGGAGAAAGACATTGTGATTGGTTACGCAGAAGGTTAGTGAAAAAGAGGAAGCCTCTCAACAAGTTGGACTGACACAGTGGCTGCAACAGTGGCCTCAAATACGGCAACAATCATGAGGGTGGCACAGGACTGGGCAGTGTTTCATTCTGTGACCATACATAGGGTCCCTACGAGTCAGAACCGACTTCACAGCACCTAACAACAACAACAAATCAGACACTCAGTGTGGCAACTTTGACAGTGTTGGGGAAGCCAGAAGTATAGGGAGAGTGAGAGGAAAGATGGGCTGCTCTACATCCATCTCCCTGCAGGTGTCCAGGGACAAGGAAAAACTTCAGTGGAGGGGATGGTGCCCAGGATCTCTGGGTGGTGGCCTAGAGCAGCATGAACCTGCCCATGGTCAAGGGCAGGGTGGAGATAGAGAAGAATGGAGGGGATGGCTCAGCAAGGATGGAGATCAAGACTTCTACTTCCCCTCCATATGCCAGAGGAGGCTTCTCTAGGAAGGGGGAAGGAGGGTGCCTGAGAAGGCTGCTGTCTGGGCTACAGAACACTGTGGGTTATAAGAGAGAGAAAGCAGGTGAGGGAAGGCAGAACAACATAAATGGAATGTGGATCAGAGAAGAAGGTAAACACAGAACCCAGCACAGAATTGTGGAACCAGAAGAGACTGGAAATAGGAGTTCCATGTTGATGGAGCGGCCCATGCAAGGGATAAGGTTCTTAATAATCAGGAAGGGGCCTGCTCAGAGCAGACAGTGAAAGTGTCAGGACCCATTTTTTGATGCACAATGGACCATCCTGGAAGGAGCATTGCATTGACAGTGAAAAAATCCTTGAGTTTGCAACCATGCCTAGCATCTCCCTAGAAGGCTCTTGGCACAGAAGTAGAACAGTGGGTGGCCACAGCACCACCCGCCCACTGCATCTGGCCAAGGGCACCCAGGGAGGGATTGGGGCCTATGAGGAGAGGGTGGAGGGAGCAGCAGGGAACAGCCACCCTTTAAAGCTGCTCCTTTCCCTGTTATTAATTGTACGAGCTGGGAATCACACTTCAATGGGTCTTCAAAGAGAATGAGTCAGCAGAACTTAATTAAACCTGAGCCGTTTAGCACATCGATCATAAGAAATACACAATTTACACAGGTGATTAGGCCACCTAATTATAAACCCATGTTTCTCCCTGCCTGGCTCCCTCCTCTGATTGCTCCTTCTTTTTGTTCCGCTAATTGGCACTGGCTGCTTAGCTAAAGGTCCAGGGGGACTTGGCCACTGGGCAACATCTCTGGGAAATGAGCCTTGTCCTCCTAAGGTGGTGAATTCACTCTGCTGGTGATTAAGTGCACCCTCTGGAGCCCCTCTGGAGGCTAGGACACCTCTTGGCACTTGAGGAGTTGGGTACAGGCAGGAGTCTTCATAAGGAAGACCTGTTGGTGGCCTTTTCTCTTTCTAGTTGGCTCTCACACTTCCCCTGGCTTCCCATTGCCCATAAGGGACAATGGGGAAGCTCCTTTGGTTGGCATTCAAGGCTCTACACATCTACCTTTCTAGCATCATCTACATCTCTCCCTAATACTCATTTTCGATATTTCAGTCTCATCTGGCCACTTTT